AAATGGTAGCTGTTACTATTAGATTGATTCTCCATCTATTAGGAATGAATCTAAGTACAGTTAATAGAATAGTAAGCAGTACTGACTTAAACAAATGGGGTTATTTTCCTCACACAGTAAGAAGTTTGAAGGCAGGCAATCTTGGGCAGCCATCAAAGACCATTTGCCTTTTTTTTTTAATCTTAATTGTTGAAAATATTACAAATGTCCCTTTTTCCGCCATTGATCCCCTCCACCCCACATCCATCCCACCCCCAGGCCTTCCCCATGACAATGTCTGTGTCCATGGGTTATGTGTATAAACATATAAGTTATTGAATTAATCTCTCCCCACCCACTCCCCCACCCCCACCTTCGCTCTGAGACCCCTCAGTCTGTTCTATGTTTCTATGTCTCTGGATCTATTTTGTTCAACAGTTTATTTTGTTTATTACATTCCACATATAAGTGAGATCATGTGATATTTGTCTTTGTCTGCCTGGCTTATTTCACTTAGCATAATACTATCCAGCTCCATCCATGCTATCTCAAAGGGTAAGAGCTCCTTCTTCTTTACTGATGGGCACTTGGGCTGTTTCCAGATCTTAGCTATTGTAAGTTGCGCTGCTATGAACATCGGGGTGCATATATTCTTTGTGTTTCGGGTTTGGTGTTTGGTGTTTCGGGTTTCTTAGGGATATATTCCTAGAAGTGGGATCACTGGGTCAAAAGGCAGCTCCATTTTGGTGTTTCAGGTTTCTTAGGGATATATTCCTAGAAGTGGGATCACTGGGTCAAAAGGCAGCTCCATTTTCAATTTTTTGAGGAACCTCCATACTGCTTTCCATAGTGGCTGCCCCAGTCTGCGTTCCCACCAGCAGTGCACCAGGGCTCCCCTTTCTCCACACCCTCGCCAGCACATCTCATTTGTTGACTTGTTGATGGAGCCATTCTGACGGGTGTGAAGCGATACCTCATTGTGGTTTTAATTTGCATATTTCTGATGATTAATGACGTTGAGCATTTTCTCATGTGTCTCTTGGCCATCTGCATGTTGTTCTTCCTTCTGTTGAGGTGTATGAGCTGTTTGCCTCCTTTCATTCACTCTGGTCTCCATAGCATGTTGAATTGCTGCTCCGTGGCCGCAAGGTGGTTGTTACAGCTCCACCTGCGACGGTGGGGGGAAGAGGTGTGGTACCAGTTATTTCCCCCTGTTATAATGAAAGCAAAGCTATCCCAGAACCCCACTTCCAACCACAGTAGATACCTGCCTTTGTCTCATTGGCCGGGGCCATGCCTTCTGACTATCGGTAGCTGCAAGGACACTTGGAAAGTGAGCATTTAACTTTTCAGATTTGATTGTATAAGTGGCAAGGAGGAAAGTGGATGAAACTGGGAGTAGAATGAACCAATTGTACTTGCCACAGTTCTTCCTGCCTCTCACAACGTTATTTTTAAAAAATATTTCGTTGGTTGTCAGATGTGGAGGGCTTGGTTAATCCTGGTCACGTGTGTCCATGGCCCATGAACAGCAGAGCCCCTTTGCTAGACTCATTCCCTTTTGTTCTCACAAAATGTATACAGTTTCATTTCATTTGAAATGTATACAGTTTCAGTGTAAACCGTGCATCTGTTTTTCTTAACCTTTTAACTAAAATATAACATACACTGAAGTACACAGATATTTCTAGATGGCTCAACAGGTTTTTACTATTTATCCTCATGAAAGCACCACTCTGATCACTATTTGTAACATTCCCAGCATCCCAGAAATCTTCCTCTCTTCCCCACTCTGTCAGTACTCCTGCCCGAAGGTAATCCTTCTTCTGACCTGTGCTGTATCCCCGTAGCTCTATTTTGCCCCCTCTTTGACTCCAGCTAAATGCAATTGTACATTTGTGTGTGCAGTAGCTTCTCCCCACCCCGTCGTCCATGGGGCAGCCGCTCAGTACCCGCAGCGGATGCCTGAGAGCAGGGATAGTGCGAAACCCTACAGGGACTGCTCTTCCTGTACATACACTTGAGGGAAGCACTTTCTGGCTTCTCTCTGGCGTATCCGAATTGCCAGCAACACTACTCTTGCGCTTTGGGGCCCTTATGAAGTAAAGTAAGGGTGACTTGAACACAAGCAATGAGACACTGTGACAGTTGATCTGATAACTAAGACAGCTACCAAGTGACTAACGGGCAGGGAGCTTATAACAACGTGGACACGCTGGACAAAGGGGTGATTCATGCCCTGGCGGGACAGTGTGGGAAGGCAGATTTCATCAAGCTACTCAGACCGGCGTGCAAGTTAAAACGTATAAGTTGTTTACTTATGGAATTTTTTAATTTAATGTTTTTGGTCCTTGGTTGACCGCAGATAACTGAAACTGCGGAAAGTGAAACCATGGGCAAGGGGGGCTGCCGCACTGTTTGGGGTGCGACTTCTTTCGCTCGCCTGTGAGAGTCATCTGTTCTTGCAGGTAGTGGGGTTCATTACTCACTGGTTTCCTGTGTTGTCGCTGTGCACTGTCTCTGTGTAGACCTGGGTAAGTGGCTTTATGGGAAGTCAGCCCTTTCCCACTTTGGAGCATCTTGGCCTCATAAAACCAGCCCTCTGATTTCTTGCAAAGCGTGCCTGGGCACTGCTCCCTCCAGCACCACGTCTACTTTAAAAGGAATCTCTTGGGGACTTGTACGTTTGCCTTGGATGCTGTCAGCATAAAAGAATTTTCTTGAACACGTCTTCATTTGGAGAGGGTGGAAGAAGAGAATAAGAGAGGGATGCTTTCTGGAAGGACATTTTTAGGCAAAGGGGAAAAAAAGCACCAACTAAACGCGTCATTAGGAACTTGAGCCTGGAAGCCAGCCTTCTGCGCAGAGATTAGCATCCCTCTGCTGTGCCCCAGCCCTTCTACTAGTCTAATTCGGAGCTCAGGGGCTTAGGAAACTTACAGCAACTGTCTCTCCTGGGGCTGGGAAAACTGGTTTGAATTCCGGCTCTGAGAAGCCTCCCTGGCTGCAAGGCTGTGGCTGTGAGCTTTCCCTACCAAAGCCAGTGTGGTTTTCTTTATAAAAACGCTCCACCCAGGACAAACTTGAGAACAGGAATAAAGCTAATGCTTTTCAATAGAGTCTTAAATGGTGATGAAAGGGACTAGTTATTCCCGCAAGTGTAGTCCTGTAGGTAAGTCAAGGATCAAGTAGAAAAATGGGAACTATGCGGTTTGCTCCAGTGGCTGGCTCTCATCTTTAGGTATTGCTGGTTCCAGGCCTCGTGTCCGCTGAGAGAATGTACTGGAATCTTTGGCAGAGGCCTAATGGGAGGCTCTGTGCTTGGCGGTCAGAGCACACTGCAAGCGATTGATTCGGCAAGCTGGGTCACCCTCAGGCACATCCATTTGGGCCCAACATCCTTACCTATTGCGTCTGTGGACATGTGGGATTAAGTCAGAGAACAGCCTGAATCCATTGCTTCTAACATCAGACGACCAACCCTGAATTTAGCAACATTGGTTGCTAACAACTTTATAATATTTTATTAAGTTTATTGAGTAATTTATGTATCCCTGGCCCTTACTAGGGATTTTGCATATATTATTTCAATAATTCTCCATAGGACCTGGGGAGATATGTAAGATTATTTCCATTTTGCAGGTGAATAAATTGAGGATTAGAGAATTTAGCTAACCTGCTAATGAGAAACAGGTATAAGAAGTAAGGCTGAAATTCAACACCAGGTCTCTTAGATTCCAATGGCTGTGTCCCCGTACTTACACCACACTACCTGTTAAAAATAACCACCGGCCTTTCTGCTGTGCCAGTTCTCTCATCGGCCTGTGCTTTCCACTCACTCCAGCACTTACTCTTCAGTGTTTGTCCCACAAGGAACTGGTTTTAGGACAGCTGAAAGCGGCAAATACCTTGTCACATATTTTAATTTTAGCTAGTTGGTGAAGCTTCACTCTAACACAATTATATTTTATTAAAGGAATTTTAAAAAATATTTAAAACAATCTGATAGATAATAAGGAGACATTGGTTTCAGTCCTAATGTAACCATGAATCAAAACAAGCCACGAGACCTCAGATGCAAACTTAATTCCCGTGTGCCTCAGCTTCCCTTGTTTGTGAAATGAGGAGGTTGAAATGTGTGGTCACAAATGAACCTACCTGTTCTAAAAACATGGGCTTCGATACCATTTGTTGTTTTTGTGATTCTAGACTGGCTTCAGAGTACAGATATTTCTTTTTAAATTTTTTTTTATTTTTCAGTTACAGTTGCTATTCAATTTTGTGGTACTTTCAGCTGTACAGTACAGTGGTCAGACATTGATATAACTTACGAAGTGATCCCCAATAAGTCTTGCACCCACCTGACATCATGCGGAGTTATTAGAATATTATTGACTGTATCCCCTGTGCTGTGCTTGACATCCCCATAACTGTTTTGTAACTGCCAATCTGTACTTAATCTCTCCACCTTTTCATCCAGTTTCCCTACCCCCTCCCATCTGGCAACCATCAGTTTGTTCTCTGCCTGTGAGTTTGCTTCTGTCTTACTTGTTTGTTAAACGAATATTTCTTAAAGGAGCCTTAATTACTAAATGCAAATCAAGAGAAGTGGATAACATTGGGGTCAAAAAATTATTTTAAAGATGTAAGTTCTGTGTTCTTGCAAGTAAAGCTACATTTTTCGTTGCATTTCCCAGTGCTTCATTCCCACCAAAAGAAAAGCATGTAGGTTCTTAACTAATGCATATTGGAGCTTAGATTCCTTGAGGGTCTGGCAAGCTTTAATCTTGGATAAGATGATGTAAAATATTGTGAGCAGCCAACCTCAGGTTGCCAACCGAAATATAAATCCCTCCTTGTTCAGTATACAGATTTATCATGTAAACTGTTTTAATTTATACCTGGTACTATTGAGTAGAATTAAGACACTGTTGAGCAACTCTGAAAATAGGACTAAGACAATATTATGGACTAATTAAGAATGTGCTATACTGTAACAAATTTTTACTGCATCATTTTAGACCCAATAAAGAGAAAACTGGCCATGTGAGTGACTCAGGATCATCTGTCATCAAACATGGGCTCAATCCAGAGAAGGTCTTCATGCAGGTTCATTATTTAAAGGTAAGCGCATCTAAGTGGCAGAAGCCAGTTACCATGGTGTGTCACTTTTTAGGTTATACACATAGACAGTGAAGATTAGTAGCATCTTTGGACAAAGCAAAAAAATCACCAACATTGTAATGACATTTGACTAGGTTTTTATCTGATTGTCATAATTAAAACACTTTATTCCCCCAAACTGAGGCATGAATCAAAGGAACCTGAACTATTTCCTGCCCTGTGCCTCCCTTCTCCCTGCGTCACATCAGCTGTGAAGGGCAGAAGCTTAAAATTGCTGTCAGGTTCCAACTGGAAGGCAGGGGTAGGAAGGAAGCACTTGCAGTTGTAAAGGCCCCTCTCGATAGCTAAGGGAGAGAGGAGCCGGGCCCCGCTCCCCTTCTGGTCCTCGGTGGGCGTCCGGGCTTCACATCCGTAGCTGATCCTTAATTCCTAGGCCCACCCTTACTGGTAAGAACAGAGAGGGCAGCCTGGGGCACATCGGCGGGCCATCAGATGTGCATACAGCGCTGGTGGGTGAGCCAGAGCCGACTGGGTACGCATTTTTCTGATGCATCCGTGGCGGGCATCTCTCTTCTTCCTCCTTCTAGGGCTATTTCCTTCTCCGGCTCTTTGCCAGAAGACTTGGACACGATGCCTATTTTTCATTTTTAAGGAAATTTGTGCACACGTTTCACGGGCAGTTGATTCTTTCCCAGGTAATTTATGAGTCCTCACGGGTCCGTGATACAGAGTTGGCGGGGGTGTGGCATGTGGGGACTAGGTTATGTGAGTATTAAAAAGTTGGGGAAGGTTTATGATTTAACACAGTAGGAAAAACTAGAAGTTAATGAAGTGGACCGAGGGAAGCGTTGTTTTAGGGAGGGTGACCTTCCTGTAGTTCTGGGACAGTCTGTGACCCAAAGCTGTCCTGTGCACAGTGATGTGGATAATTGCATCTTAAGTGACCTTAAAAACCAAAGCAACAGAACAGCCCTACTGCTCCTCCACCTGGAACGATCTTTGCAAGGTCAGCTCCTTCCTATCCTTTGGTCTCGGTGTGAATGTCACACACTCAGAGGCGCCCTGGCCAGTGAGACCTGCACCCACCCTGTTATTCTCGGCCCTTTGCCTTTGGCATTGCCTTCCTTGTCATCGCCGTTATTTATCATTATATTTTCATTTAAGGTCATTTGGGTTTTTCCTGTCTCCTCTATTGTATGTGTAAGCTCATGAAGGCCAGACCATGCTCTTTATTTGATCAGTACTTAATACCACACCATATATATTTGATAAACCGGTCAATTAACAAGATGCACTGAGACAGTCAGACAGCCGACCTCAGAACATTCGGAGAAAGCCTGTCAGCTTACGGGTGTGTGGCCGCGCTGCACGGAGCAGTAAGAAAGTTAGCAAAGAGGGGCGGGCTCTGGAAGCAGTGCTCCTGGCTGCTCAGAGATGCAGCCTCAGCTCCGTCTGGACTGATGGGGATGGTTGATATTTGACATTAGGGCTCATGCACGGTTTGGGGCCACGCTGTCCGCGATGTCAGATGTAAAGGACGTCCGAGTATAATCTGAGCACACGGAGGGAGAGCACGAGTGTGGTGGCTATGCCTCGTCTCGACGCTCTTTTTATTCTTTGGTTAGGGAACAGGGGCTTTTCCTAAACATGTATTTGGAAAGGCAACTTGGAAACTGGCTCAGAAGTCTTATATGCCTGGTTGACTGATTAGCTGAAATTCCTACTGCTAAAAACGACTTCTCCCCAAGACCCTGCAGTGTTAAATGAGGGCATTGCATCTACTGGGACTTCTGAGGTTCTGATTTCAACTTCCCATGGAACACTTAGTGCTCTCTCCACCAAATCATTCAGTTTTTCTTTTATCTCTTTCAAGTAAGAACTTTATTGTTTTTTATAACAGCTTTATTGAGATGTAGTTCACATACCATAAAATTTACCTTTTAAGTGTTTAAGTCAGTGGTTTTTTGAATATACACAAGGTTGTGCCATCACTATCACTGTGTAATTTCAGAGCATTTCCATCATCCTTAAAAGAAAACCCATGTCTGTGCCAGGGAGCCGTGCAGAGCTGAGTTATTGCGGCTGTGTCCCCCAGGTGGGCTTCTGTCCAGGAGACAGTTTGCGTGTGCTGGGCACGGTGCTGGCATTACGGGGAAGCAGATCTGAGCTTCCCAGTTAATTCAGCCTGTGCAACCCTGGGAAGGAGAAGAAGTGCCCCCGCCAAGGGTTACAGACACCACCCCCAAGGGGAGTCTGTTCAAATCATCCCAGCCAGGTCCCAGATATCTCTGCTGAGCGCAGTTCCATGGGGGAACGAAGAGCCCCTCAGAGTGGGGTCTTTCAAGGTGTGAGACCCAAGGAAGACCCAGCCTCTGGCCTACAGAGGCCCTGCCCTCTGGACTACTTGGGGCTCTGCCCTGCCAAGCTTCAGAGAGGCTGCCGAGGGCCAGGCAGGGACAGCGACTGACATTGGCTTGCACCAGAGAATCAGTCGGGAGGCCCAGGACCAGCACACCAAGTGGCCAGCTTTGGACAACATCAGAGCAGGATCCATTGAGCTCCACAAGCAGCATATCCAAAAGGTAATTGCAGCAGGCACAAAAAGGTGAACTTCACTTTTTTTTATTTTATTACTATCTTTGTTGTTGAAAGTATTACAAATGTGCCCTTTTTTTCCCGGTTGGTCCCCTCCACCCGGTATCCCTCCCCCCAGGCCTTCACCCCACTATTGTCTGTGTCCATGGTTTATGCATATATGCATATAAATTCTTTGATTAATCTCTCCCCACCCACC